AGCGGGGAGGGGGCAGCCAAGCCCCAAAACAGCTGAATGGAGGGCAGGGGCATTCCCCAACCCTGATTCAGCTGTATAGAGGGAAGGGATATGGCCTAGCCCTATATTGCTGTTGGGAGAGAGGGGCATGGGATTCTGGCAATGGGGGGGGGGTGGGGGGGGGGCGGGATAGTTCGTCAGATTCTGGCAATGGGGGGGGGGGGGGGGGGGGGCAGTATCATTGGCCACTGCTCCCCTGCCACCACATTTCCTGACCTATACGAAGCCCTGTGGACCAGATGCAATGGCTCTGTGGGCCACATTTGGCTCACAGGCCATAGTTTGAGCATCCCCTCATATAGATAATGCTAAAGTTGTTACTGGTAAAGTTTGAAGATGCTACAAAGACCATATATAAGCATTACATTTCTGCCAGGAGAATCACCACTCTCCTGTTAGAAGCTACAAGCATACAGGGTTTCATTCAGTTTCTCCAAGGGGAAACATCCCCCTCCACAAGAAAGATCTTCCAGGTTGACACATTCTTGCAAAAGTGAATGCCTGTATGCTCCCCCTGCCTTGAGTCTGGTTTGGGAGGGTAGGGGAGCATTAGCAGCTGCTCCCTGCCCCTTCCCTAAACCAGGCAGTCCCCAGTTTGGGGAAGGGGGGGGGGGGGGAGTTCCTGGGGGTTGCGAGTGCAGACTTTGAATGTGCCATGTGGGGGCAGAGGGGGAATGGCTCCTGCTCCTCTTCATGCTTTCCCCAGACTGATCTCCAGGGAGGGCATGGAGTGCAGGCGGGAGAGGGGCAGCTGCAGGCTGAATGCTTGTATTCCTCCCTCTCCCAGAACAGTTTCTGGCAGTGGAAATTTGTCCAAAATTTGTCCAAAATTTCCACTGCTAGAAATGAAAACCTATTTGAAGCTCGAAGCTTAATGGGGTAGCAGGGAATGAAAGGACAAGTCAGTTACTGAGTAATTTAAGTTGCTTTGTTAAATGGTCACAATCCCAAAAGCCTATTTTAATAGTCATGTTCAAGGAAATGAATAGAGAATAAAAAACACAAATTATACCAAATGGCATGAGATTGTCTTGGGTTTCAGGATTTATGGTAGTGGTTTTCAACCTTTCCAGACTCAAGGAATCTCTCCGAAAATGCCACCTCCTGGCTTTCACTAAGCTTTTGATTACAGAAAAATAATGGAACAAAGAATTTAGAAAGAACACAGCAGGTCAGAATGACATTAACATTACGGATATCTATTTGAAATCTCTGGGTGTGTCTTGTGAATTATGTCTGCACATCTAACACTGCTACTATTACATGATACCATGGGGCACCCTGGAAATCTCAAGACACCCTAGGGTGCTGTGGCATCCTGGTTGAGAATCACCAATTTACAGGTTGTTGATTGTTACTTCAATCTGAGCTTTCAATGCATAACTCTGGTCAATAGGTGCAATTCTTGACCTTTAAGAGGATGACTATCACATAAAAACTGAGATTTGATTTTTGCTTCTTTATATAGCAAGACTGATATAATTTTAGAATAATGTGTTCAACTATGGAGACACTACTTCAAAAAAGATGTGGATGTACTAGACAGAGTTCAAAAGATCTTCAGGCTGGGAAACAAGCTATACAATGTGAGGCTTAATGTGCTCAAACTACTCAGTTTATCAAAAGGAAGGATGTGAGATGGCTCGATCACGTGTAGTTAGGTACTTATATGCAACAGCAAGGGCTTTTCAACCTTCCTGCCAACAGCATGACAAGATTCGATGGCTGAATCTAGACAAAGTCAACCTTGAAGTAAGAAGCAATATGCTAGTAGAAAGCGTGATTAAACATTGGAACTTTATCCAACTTTTGCAAGATGCTCCATGTTCTGTGTGCATGGGAGGAGGGGGTGAGGTAGAAGAACTGTGGTGACTTTCTGGCCTGGCAGTTCGAATCTGAGGCTATGAAGGCCCTGCTCATTCTCTGTTCATTTGTCAGAGAGAGAACAGGATTTTATTTTTCTGCCTTCCTCTAAAGCATCAAGGAATTGGCTACAACTGGTGATAGGACCCCAGGTGGGGTAATCACTGTGTGGAGGCAGCACAGATAATTCTCTCTCAGATGTGTGGCTGATAGATCTCACTCACATGCTCAGGGTCAAAGCGAAAGACAGATTTTAGGTCATAACTGAATTTTCCCCTAGGTCAGATTGTCAGGTGCCTTTGAAATGTTTATCCTTTTGCAGCATGGGGCATGATTTACCTGCTAGGATCATCTGGGCATTTCTCACCTAACCTAATAAATTTCTTGCCACTGCAGAGATCTCAGGCACTAGTGAAACCTTATTTTCTCCTATGTTCTACTTGTAGCATAGCAGGTTGCAGACTGAAATCCTTTCATTAACTAGGTCAAGACTAAGGGCATGCAAAATACAGAAGATCAGAATAGATGGCTAATGTTCCCTTGTGGCCTTAAAATCTAATCAATTATCTACAAAGCCAGAGGTGGTCAAGGGTAGGCTTATGCTCCATGGCATTGTAGTTTGGAGACTGAAATAATGGACAATGAGAAAACCTAACATGCTTGGTTAGAGACTTTTTGAAATGTAAATGAAGTGAGAAATGATACAGACTGTATCCAGGATCTAACAGGCTGAGCAGAGCAAGGGAGGTAACAGATGGAGGTTCCAAGTGAACCTATATGCAAAAGTCCTTTCTTATGTGTAGATAAAAAAGTAGATACCTGGGGAAAGAACTGAAGTAGTGGCAGCATTGTGAAATCAAAAAACTTTGGCCAATGATAAAACTTGACAGTGGAAAAAATTAACCAATATTTGTCTGACAAGTCTGTGCAGACTTCTGACCACTGCAGTTAGAATCACAGAAAATAAGGGTTTGAAGGGACCTCAGGAGGTCATCTAGTCCAACCCTCTGCTCAATGCAGGACCATCCTCAACTATATCATTATAGCCAGGGCTTTGTCGAGCTGGGCCTTAAAAACCTCCAAGGATGGAGATTCCACCACCTTAGTATCCAACCTAAACATGCCTTCCTGCAACTTGAGTCTATTGCTCCTTGTTTTGTCATCTGTCGCCACTGAGAATAGCCTAGCTCCATCCTCTTTGGAACCACCCTTGGGTAATTAGAGGCTGCTATCAAATTCCCTCAGTCTTCTCTTCTGCAGACTAAATAAACCAAATTCCCTCAGCCGCTCCTCAAAAGTCATATGCCCTAGCCCCCAAATCATTTTCATTGCCTTCCGCTGGATTTTCTCCAACTTGTTCACATTCTTTCTATAGTGGGGGGCCCAAAAATGGACACAGGGCTCCAGATATGGCCTTACCAGTGCAGAGTAGAGAGGAATAATTACTTCCCTAGATCTACTGGCAATGCTCCTACTAATGCAGCATAGTTCCTGATGTTGCTAGAGTTGTTACAACAGCAAAAGCATTTGTGCCTCAGAACTGGAAAAAATTGTACCAGAGCCTGCTTCTATGTCTGAAAAAGAGGCACTTCAGGAACATACATTTGATTTTATCTCTGCAGTCTGGTCCAGAACCCTTGGTTGGAAAAAGTTTCTAGGTTGTACTTGGACCGTCTAATCTATTAAACGTGTACATGTCATACTAAAGTATTCCCCATCCCTGCCACCCCCCTGCAAATAGTTCAGTATTTTAAAGATACCCCTTTCTTGATTTTGATCTCATGTATGTTGGTTTAGCTGACATACAACTTCAGTCCACTTATACCTATGGTACTAATTGCACATAATTAAGATTAGAATCAGGCCCTTAAGATTAGAGGTTCATAATGTACTGTCAAAAAAACTGATTTCAGACTAATAAGTATTTCTTTATTCTAGCTATGCTAGTTTTTGAGATAAGGGCCACTAAAATTAAATGGGCATTTAAAGCAGGGTAAAGGAGAAGACCATTGGGATGATATGGTTTTATGGTCTCCCAACTTGCTAGTTAGATAAAAAGCTCTATTACCTAAAAGATTCAACTTTTAAATGATGTAAAGGTTTTACTTCCAACAATAGCAGTGCTTTTTTCCACTGAAATGTGACTAAATATAACAAGTCCTGGTTCAAAATGATTTTAACACAGAGCATTTATCAGAGCGCTGCTAAAAACAGACATCTTAGGCTAGCCCCAGGTTTTTTTCTGCCATTTGCTTTGCTGATATGTAAATTCAGTAACTTCTACCACTGATCCTGCTCCGAACATATTGACTGCTGTATTGGTCAATTTCTCTTGATGTCAGAGGAAGAACTGGCACAGGAGATCAGAAACTTGCCTGAAATAAGTGGGGCAACACATACGTTGTTATATAATGAAGGTAATCACTATGCACGGGATTTTCTAAAACGGCTGCTTAATGTACCAAAGATCACTCTGCTAACTGAACTGGAGATGGACTTGTAAAATGACCTATGACTTGTAAGATGCCTTTTAGAAGACAAGAAATCTTAGGAATAAAAAAATGCCATGCGTCCTAATATGTCTGCTCTTTATCCATACTTTCATCAATTGGCTTAAAAGATTCAACATTTAAAAGCAAGAAAGTATAAAGACAGAATAGTTAGAAACATCTGGTACAGTAATTCAGTTTACTCCTAGCCTTGCAAAGCCATAAGCTGTGTACTACATTAGTAATTCTTTAGTTCTAGTACAGGGATAGAAAGAGCCTTTCCAAAGATTTACAGCCTAAATATCCAAGGCAGTTCACTTACCAAGATGTGTGTTCATCATCTTTGCACAGTATTTACACATGGCTTCTAGGTCATTTAGCTGTCCTTGGAGAAATGAAATTTGGGCCTCTAGTTCTTCTTCCTGTAATTAAAAGGATAAAATGTTAAAGAAAACTAATATACACAGGCAAAAAAATTAATAAGCAAAGCCCTTAAAAGGTTTAGAACGTTCCAGTGGTTATGGCTTCATTTTTTGTTTGTTAGTAAATCATGAAAACAAGAGAACTGTTTCTTCTTTTTTATTTTTTAGAGGAACTGAAATATTTTTTACTTTTCTCATTATTTTGCACGTGGTTTTTGTTTTCTGCCATAGTGGTTGTTAATAATTGCTAAAAATTAAAAATGCAGCAGAATTCCAGGTTATTATGCCATTAAATATTAATAATTTTATTTAATTTGGTGGGATAATAGATTTGTTTCTTGGATAAATATGTATTTTGGCTAGTACAAATCCAATACAGTGGAAATATGAGAGTCAGAAAACTACCCAAATTAAGGAAACTCACACTTTGGACAGAATAAACATTCTATGAACCCCTTAAATGCCATGCTCTATTTGTAAAAAAAAAAAAAAAAAAAAAAAAAAAAGATTTGTATTCCCATGGTAGATCAATTGTGGTTCCATATGCACTTACACTTGAGCAGGGGGCACCCCCATGGACAAAAAAGAAGGTTCAGCTTTCCAATACAGGCTACTCAGCAGAGATGTCCCAGAGCAGAGAACTGGCTCCCAGACCTTTGAATGCCCTATAGCCAATAAAAGCATCTCCACTATTCTGAGCCAACAGAATCCAAAATGATACTGGTTTAAATATATTTTCCATGCTACCAATCTATTCTTGAGGAGACTATTTTCTGCTAGATCTTACAAATGTATATCTCATTTCACATGACTGTTTGGAGTTAAGCTTTTATTTTACACCATCCTAAGCTATTTTTCATTGGCTTACACCATTAGAAGTAGAGATGAGAGTTTCATTTCGACTCCTACATGCCCTTGTCTTGACACTTATGTTGTAAGTTATTAGCAGCTGCCATCAAAATGGATCTGGTTGAAACTGATAAGTGTCCTTGACATTGTTTTCAAGCAAAATGGAGGAGCAATTAAATGTCCTTGCTAAGGTGACGGCTAAGCTCATGGAAACCACTATCCAAACCACTAGTCAGCATGCCAGGACCTAAGCAAAGGCTTAGTGAGGGCAAGTGGGTTTCCCTGATGTCTGCTTGCAAATGCACCACTGGCTGGAGCTGGGCATATGTGAAAAAAGAACAACTAGAAAACCAACAGAAAAACCAACAGAAAGCTACAAAAGCTGTTAGAGTGTGCTCCTGGCATGAAAGAGAGAGAGAGAGAATTCTTTAAGAAGGATACAACTAAGATGCCAGAAATTGATTTTCTGGAAATGAAAACTGCCTGGTGTCGTTTGTTCCTGCTTTGTTTAGGAAAAACAGGGCTTTGTGTATTCTCTTAAAATTGCACCAAATAAATATCTGACTTCTCTGTCTAGCAAAAATACCATGGCAAAGCCTCAAATATTGACTAACTACTGGGATAAAGAGCACCCACACAGCATGCCAAATTAACACATGTTCAGCAAATCATTTTAATTTTTGAGCACCAATTACTAAATTAGGAAGTTTTTACATGTGCTCTGGGGATGGGGAAGGGAAGGGGTGCTTTAAATTAGAGCAGCTCTGAGAGCTGCTTTAATTAAAGCGCACACAGCATCTTCTGCATCAGCATCCCTGCACTTCAAAATGGTCGTGGGAGCACTTTAACTAAAGCTCATTGAATGAGCTTTAGTTGAAGTGCCCCCACAGCCCTTTTGAAGTGTGGGGACGCTGATACATGAGACATGGAGGCTGCTGGAGGCATGCTAAATAACATGTTCCAGCAGACTCAATGAATCAAGTCTGTTCTGACATGCTGTAATTACAACACGTTGGAGCAGTCTCCCTGCACATTTACAGGCACCCTTAGTAACTCAAAGTCAACAGGACTAATCACTTGCTGCTAGTTAAATGGAAGCTTCAGTGTTTGCTAGATCAAGGACTCTATGTACATGCTAACTTGCTGTCTGTCTGGGAAAAGGAACAAATGGAGAGGGTGCCTTTCACATGAGAAAGGAGTGGCATTGCAAGAGTGGCAGGAGTATGCCTTGGCCATTATCTTTAGTTACTGTCTCTAAGATGTAGCTATGCTAGCCTGAAGTCAGGTAGAATGCAAGGCAAGGCGGCACCTCAGAGCCTCACTCTTGCAGAAAGGTATAAGCTTTCTGAATGAGTTAGAACAGGGGTGGGCAATTATTTTGGCTGAAGGGCTGCTTAATAACTTTTGGTGAGCTGTTGAGGGCCACAAAGGTAACCCTTCCCCTTGACAGGTGCTCTGCTCCCTGATCGCCGTCCTGGGACTGAAATCCTCCCACCTAACCCCTGACCTTAGCCACCAAAAGCCCCTTCCCTTGCCCCTAGAAATATTTCTTGGGGGGTGGGGGGGGTGCCATCCTGGAACCGGAAAAAAAGCCAAATCATACACTAAAAAGTCAAACATCTATCATAACATTCATTTTAATTTTATTTAAAAAAATGTCCTGACTTATGTGCATTTCCATAGTGTATATACAGGAGACTGCATAATAGCTCAAAACAAAGTCTTATTCTTGTATATTGTATGTGAAGGAGTGTGGGGGGTGTGGTTGTGGGGTGGATACAGGGTGTGTATGTGTTTGTGTGGTGTATGCGGTATTTGTGGGAGGACATTGGATTTGTGTGGGGGGAATATGCATGTGTACGTGTGTGTGTGGGGATTTGGGGAGATATGTGGGTGGGTTGTGAGAGGGTCTAGGGCGAGTCTGGGTACATTTGTGGGGGGTGTGGGTATGCGTGGGTGTGGGGTTTGTGGAGGTGTAGGTGGGGAGGGGGGTGTGGGCCCACTTGTCACACACCCAGCCATGGCGCACAGCCTGCACTGCTGACTGTAGCAGCTGCTACCGGCAGGCTCTTGGCAGGTGGAGCCCCCCAGTGGTGCTCTACTTGAGCCCTGGGAGCTTCATGTGGCAGCACAGAGCTGGCCAGCCCATTGGATAGAGCACTGGAGTGACGGAAGCCCCACATGGTGGTACAGAGCTGGCCTGACCTGATGGCGCACAGCTCCCCACTAGAGTGCCAGAAGCTGCAGGGAGTTGTGTGCCATTGGACCGAGTGGCTCTGTCTCTCCATGTGGGGTCCAATTTCTGGGTGGAGTGCCAGTAGCCACACGTGGCATTATGGAGACTGCTTGGCCCAACTGTACGTGGCTCCCGGCTAGAGAGAGTGTGGGGAGCCCCACACAGGTGGAAGCACAGAGCTGTCCTGGCCTGGCCTGATGGTGCATGACCTCTGAAACCCCACACCTCCTGTTGGCTTTCACAGAGGAAGCTATAGCTTGGTAATAATTCTTTTCTGGAGGGTCCCCACAGGCTGGGTAGCATGGCTTGGAGGGCTGGATCTGGCCAACGGGCTGTATTTTGCCTGCCCCTGAGCTAGAAGCTAAGGTGTATCCTTGTCCTGCCTTCTGTCTGTCCTGTTCTGTAGTAACACTATATGTTTTGAATATTTTAAAAATTTGAATGCATTTCAAAACCAATGCAGAAGTCTCAAATTAGTGCAACTGAACTAGAAAATACCATTCTGAAAATAAAGGTTCAGATTCACTGGTGACAGAATTAAAACATTAGACCAGGTGCTGGTGACAAGAAGCAACTGATTCAGGAAGAGATTCCTTGGAACCTTACAATTTAAGTGCTGAAATGTCACTGGATACCAGTAATAAAAGTAAATAAAATAAAACTTTATAGGGAAAG